TGGATGCTATTGTCTTGGCTTATCAGGCTCAAGACCTGCCATGCCCCCTAGGGGGTGAGAGCTCACTCAACTAGGAGTGTGGCTTCCTCCTGGGCGCTGACGCATGGCGCCTCGCTAACAGACATCTGTAGAGCTGCGGGCTGGGCGACACCTAACACATTTGCGAGATTCTATAATCTCCTTGTAGAGCCCGTGTCCTCCCGTATACTTGCCCCTTCGGGCCAGTAAACAGGACCTGCTCGGTGTCAATTCGCTTGAACAGGCAGCCTGTTAGCATACTTCCAGCTGGAATATGCTACCCAGTGTGTTCGGTGTTAGGTATATCCCTTCGCTCGTGCTGGCTTCATGACAGGGTGCTATCACTTACGCAGGTCACTGGAAGACAGCCATTGTGGCATTTTGGAAGGGACCCCATTCGTCAGTCTGTTCTGACATAACGTAGAACGTGACCGACTGAAAGAGAACGTCTAGGTTACGCATTTAACCCTCGTTCCCTTAAGGAGGGAACGGAGACGTTACGTCCCTTTGCCACAATTGCTGTTCCTCTGAACGGCTGGGTCACATGGCTCGGCTCCTCAGCAAAGACTTGAATGCGAGTTGCTCGCACTGCTCCTTATTGCACATTACACACAGCGGGGCGGAGCTCGCGATGCAAATTCCGCAGACCCAGGTACTCAGCGTACTATTGGCTCGTTCTGTTACCACTCGAAGGTGACTGGGCTCTCGGGCGAGACCCCATTCGTCAGTCTGTTCTGACGTAACGTCTCCGTTCCCTCCTTCAGGGAACGAGGGTTACATACGTAACCTAGACGTTTTCTTTGGCACTGTGAATAGTTATTTATGGATTTTTTTTTTTTTAAGTATTTATTCATTGTTTTGTAATCGTGCATGGATAAGGTTGTCACAGTACAATAAAAAGACTCTTTATTGTTGTCCTTTTCTGACAACCACCCAACAAACCAAAAGCAGAACAGAGCTAAGTATCACTGGTGGAGTTGTGTGGCGCACAGACAAGACACATCAGTCACAGAATAATCCCACCAGACCTTTAATCATAGAATCAAAAACAAACAAATCACTTCAAATGACACTTCTGCCGACTACAAAAATACGCAGGTAGTAACAGGTGCTGCTGGCATATTCTTAACGTCTACTAGAAAGTCAAGAAAATAAAGTAAGCAGTTCTTGTATTAGAAATAATGATAATTGTATCCTTACTGTATATTTAAGATAACCAAGCAATAACATGATCAGGAATTATATCAGATAAATAAAGTGCCTTTAGTTCATTGTAGTGTCGCCATCATTTCACTGCAGCAAATGAGAAAACCAACAATCACCACATCGAGCCAGTTAACATAAAGCTGATTAGCGTTGTAAACATGAAGGCCGTTGTGGCAATGTACCATGATTCCACATTCAAACATAAATGCAAGGCATGCGATTCATGAATAAATACAATCAGTCAAGAGTTGAGCCAAATGAAACAAGTGAACAGAGTATGGCAAGAGAAATTCCTCTCGCTGAAGCACGAAACCTGCTCAAACGCATCATTCTCCTCAGAAGACAATATATCAAAATAGCAGGGAAGTTTGAACAATTCTGTAACATCATATATTTTAGTAAATTAAAATAGAAAACTCACAAGAGGGAATGTTGGGTTTATGGACAATATGATGGACCCAAATCAAGTAAAACATTTAGCACATCAATTTTCAGTAACGTCAAACAAGATCAGTTGTGCGTTTCTAAAGGCTTTAGTGGTTAAGGCTCTGGGACTTTGGGAGGCTAGTTTTAGTCATAGATCCTCTAGAAACGCACATAAAATATACACTTCTGAAATGTTTCTTGGTGGATTCCTGTAAATATAAAAAGCCTAATACTGTGCCGAACGTCATTTTCATATCAGTGCAATTTAGTCCAAGATTAAACGGATGATGGGTGACGTGTCGTTGGTAATCTTGGTCATCTCTAACCGTTACTCAAATATATTCTGAAAACTTTAACGCGAGTTTTATACATGGATTGTAAATTCATGGGTCTGAATGGATTTTGACATTAATTTGCTTAAAACGTGTATTTAATTTCCAATAACTAAGACTATAGATTCCAGTAATTCAGACGTCACGTAGATGCAGAAGCTGAGTGTCTGATGTTTCATGAATGCAAAAATATGTACGCAGCATAATAATTGGTGCACATGTAAATGTGTAGCAGTGAGAAGGGCTGGGAGATATACTGAATATTCACTGTACATTTATGATGACTTTCCTACAGAACATGTATTTAGACATGTTCACAATCTATCATCAGCATACGAGTGTTATGAAAGAGATATTTTAACAGCATCAGAGTTAAACTTCAGTTGCAATAGCAGCATTAGTAAATAGCTAAATATTTTTAATGCAATAAATAGTACATTTATTGCATTAAAAATAGCAATAAATATATTTTAAAGTTCCTGCACATTTAAGAGTTAAAATGCTCGTTAAAAAAGGGGGAAAATGTGTAAATAAGTATTAATATTTATTGCTTGGTGTGTATGAATGACAATTATTAAACAGAATTATTTTTGTTCATTTAGTGAACAGTGTGAAAACATGCTTTGATTTTTACTGCATTTTAGTTTTAACATTTTGATGTCTAATTTGCTACAATAGCTTTTTGGTTCTAACGACTTTGAAAAAAAATCACTGTTTTATGCCATTTCAATGTCATCTTCATAAAGGCTAAATAATATTAAGATATAAATTCTAGTAGCTATATCACCCAGCCCTAGCAGTAAGTGTGTGCAGTTTTACGCTGTAATATCTGGCGGTGTTGCCAGTTGTCACCAACAGAATAAAAAAAAAAATGTCTTTATCCCAAAAGAATATGTTTCTATAATACAATCTCTTAGAATATGACAGAGCTTCAGAAGAGGATGCTGATGCATATCAATGATGTTGAGTTCATCTGAAATATTACAAAATCTGACTTGTTCAACCATTTACTAAACACTATTTACATTTCTTACAAGTACGTAGAGTTTAGAAACATTTGGCACTCTTGTTAAATGTTATGGATTTAAGTAAGTCATTACTTTACTATATTTTTCATACAAAAATACCTATAAGAACATATGGATTGAAACTCGTGACGACGTTCATGTAAGAAACACATGAACATAACTTTTAAGGGAAGATTGTGATAGCAAATGATGCAACTCCATCGATACAAACATATTGCACAAACGATGAACGGTCCAAATGCACAAAAGGTGTGTTAGAAATTGTTTCTGCTGTAAATAATCTCATTAGAGAAAACTACCTTGTAAATATCTGAAATAACTCGCCATATATTTGACTGTGAGAAAATATATTCGCTTTTCATTCAAATTTTGAGCCACAATCATTGTTAAAATGTGAGGAAGGGCAGTGTCCAAAAGATTTACTCGTCAATACTGGTACAAAAACAGCTCCAATTTACTGTGTGAGGCTGCTGATGGCAGAAACACTAGCGTTGTAAGCAGTGCCAGCCAGCAGAGGACGCCAGCAGCCTGCAGCATGATGCACACACACACACACACACACACACACACACACAC